GGTTCGCGACAGGGCGTCGCGGCCGTCATTTTTGCGGATACAGGTCCGTCGGTTTCGGTCCTAGGCCGCTTTCACTAAAGGGTGGTTTCTAAAGGGAGGTTTGTCCACCGCCGATCATTGTTCTGCCGATCGGCGCGGGCCCTCGCTTCCCCTCCCCCTCCCCCCTCCCGCCTTGGAGTAGATCTTGGCTGTTTGGGGCGCCTGTCTCGAGCAGGTGGAGGCTCCCCCATAGGGCGCACTGGTGCAAACAGTCGCACTAAGCAGAGGTCTGGAGCAAGACCCCCCCCCCCTCCCCCCCCTTCCGCCCTTGGTTGAAACGCCGAATAAGAAAACGCTCATCTGTGGAAGGCGAGGGCCTTCTCCCGGAGCGCCCCCAGCGAGGAGCAGCCTCGGGGCCCTGCGGCGTTTCCCCGCAACCGCAACCACATCCACAACCACATCCACAACCACAACAACAACAGCAACAGCAACAGCAACAGCAACAGCAACAGCAACGACAACAACAACAACAACAGAAGCCGCAGCAGCAGCTACATCAACAAAAAAAGCAGGCCTCCTTGGAGCCCCTCCACTGCGAGGGCGCGCAGCCGCACGCCCGGGCGTCCGGGCGCGGGCCCCGCGGCCGGCCCCAGGCCGACTACGACGCGCAGCACGCGGACTTCTCGGACTCGATCGACGCTTGCGAGAGGGCCATACAGGCGCCCTTCCCCGAGGGGAGAGGAGGGCGCTGCCAGCCTTCCTAGGCCTCCTAGATGGGGTCGGAGTAGATGGGGTCGGAGGATCGTGCCGCATCGGCGATGCATCGGCGATGCGGCTGGATGCCGAGCCCGATTTGCTTAACGCGGACGTCGCCGATGCATCGCCGACGTCGCCGATGCATCGCCGTTGCATCGTCGATGCGATCTGCTCCGACCCCATCTACTCCGACCCCATCTAGGAGGCCTCTGGCGTTGAGGCGGGCAGGACGGGGGGGGCGCGAAGAGGCTGGGGGGGCCGAAGGCTGCTGCATGCGGCCGGGCTCGGCCCCGCCACCGGGCCTTGTCCTCGGCACACCGGCGCCTTTGGCGGCGGGAGCCGTCGGGAAAGCCAGCTGCGTGCAGCCGATTCGGTGCCCCCCCCCCCCCCTTGGCATCCCCCATGTCATCCACGCCGAGAGAGAGAAAAGGAGGATCGGGCGTGGCCAGAGGCCAGGTCACCTGCAGGGCGCGAAGAGAAGCGTGCATGGCGGGGCGCGATGCCTGGAGTGAGCTCAGGGTGCCCCCAGGATGTTCCTTGGCCCAGATGGCCTCCAGATTATCCGTCGCGAGGCCCAGAGGGCCCCAGTGGCGCAGAGGCTCTAAAATGGAGCGGGACATCGGGGACCCCCTTGGGGCAGGAACAGCCCAGAGAAACGGGAAGGAGGACCAGAGTAAACCCAATATGAACTAACGATGTTGGAACACACCCTCACCTCCAAAGTACCCTCCTCATGAGGCCCTCAAAGCTTTCCTGCTCACTACACGAAGCGCCCCTTCGATAGACCAGCTCCCTATGGGCCTGTCATTCAGGCGAGATCCTCGTTTTGAGCAGGAGCTGCCTTGCATCCTTTGGGAGAACGATAAAAAAGAATGCGAGAAGATCTGTTTGCAAAGTTCGGCGAGGTGTCCAGCGAGCAACTGCTGCACAAGTCTACGCTTCTTATCATGAACGTCGAGGAAGCCTTAAGCGAGCGCCCCATTGTGAAAACGCGTTGCCTTTCTTCCATCCACGCAGCGTTTACATATGTTCATATGTTCCAAGAGAGTCACAAGCGAAAGCCCCAGTTTGAGAAGTAACCACGCTCCATCCGTGCAAGCCTCGCAATATTTAGACGAACGCTCGTGGCGCTAAGCCGATAGCCCCATTGTGAAAACAAGCCGCCTTCTATCCATGACATGGTTGCAAACGTGTCAGACGAATGTACGCGGCGTTTAGGCGAGAAGTCAATGTTGAAAAGGAGCAGCCATCCATATTGGAAATTGCTCCATACGCTCAAGGCGAATGTGCGCGGATCGATGTCGAAAGCCCAATGTTGAAAACCACTCGTCGTCCATTTTTCAGAGTGCCGCAAATGGTCAAGAGGAGTGCACGCGGTGCCGAGGCGACAGTCCCTTTTTGAAAACCCTCCGCCCTCTGTCCGTGAAACTGCTCCAAACGTTTAAGGCGAATGCACACGGCGCCAAGATGATGACCCCATTTCGAAAAAGGTGCCGCCCTCTACATTCGAAACCGCTGCGTGCGCGCCAGACGACTATGCTCGGCGCTAAGTCAAGAACCTCATTTTGAAAACGGCCCGGCCTCCATCTTCAAAGGCGTTGCAAATATTCAGAAGGAGTGCGCGCGGCGCTACGGCGAGAGCCCCATTTTGGAAACGACACGCGCTCCACCCGTGAAAATAATGCAAACTCTAAAAAGGAATGCGCGCGGCGCTCAGGCGAGAGATTCATTTTGAAAACGGCCCACTCTCCATCCTCGCAATGTATACGACATTGTAATACAAATGTGCCCGGCTCTAGCGCGAGATCCCAATGTTGAAATCGGCCCGACTTCCATCCGTGAAATTGTTGCAAATTGCAAGCGTCAGGATCATACGTGGTGAGAAAGCTGAAGGCGAAACGCCCGGGCCGCCCTGTCCACCTTCCTATGGGTGCGACAGGAAGAGGACCTCTATAAAGAAAACGGATGAAGAAGGAGGATGGGGAGGAAGAGTGGCAGGAAGTCGAGGAAGGATGACACGATTCGGATGCCTATCCACCTCCCGTATCCCCGCCCCATGTTTGTTTTGTTTTTGTCCGCCCGATTCGTTCCTCTCCCTTCTGCCTGTCGCTCTCTTCTCCATCCTCCCTTTCTCATCCCTCTCTCCTACCCCGTTCCTCTTGCACTGCTTCCTCCTATCCTCTTCCTCATGTTCCTCTCCCCTCCACCTCCCATCGCCTCGGCCTCTCTCCTGCCTCCCTCCCCTCCCCCTCTGTTCGCCCCCCCTCCGTTCCTTCCCACTCACGCGCGCCTTTTCGCGCGACCTCGTCTGCGCGCCATCCCAGCGCGTCCCCTCCCAGCGCGCGCCCTCCCAGTGCGCGCCCTCCGGCATCGCCGCCCCTACTCCGGCCTCGCGCGCAGGGGTGTTATAAGACCCAGCGGCCCCCTTCATTCTGATATATACATGTGTACGGGTGTGTCTTCGAAAGACGAGCGCCCCATGAGTTTAGCATTCGGGCCAACACACCATCTCCATACCTGCAAGTGTGGGGGCAGCCTAGATGTAGGATCCAAGATGTTCACGGGGGTGCAGGTTGAGACCCTCCACCATCCGTGACACGGGTGCACATGTTTAGAGTGCGGGTCCCGAGGCCTAAGCGAGTGTCAAGCGAGGGTCCAAGCTTGAGAAGGAGGCGCCCTGCATCCGCCTGATGTTCGTGCATGTGTATCTGGTCAGGCTTCAAGCGAGAGCCCCGTTTATCCCCAATCAGAGCTTGCCTCTGTAGGGGCCCTAGCGGATTCATATGGTTAGGTGAGGTGTGTCACCGAGTTCCGCGGCCCGCCTGGGTGCCCGGGTGCCCGGGTTCCTTACAGCCCTATAGCCCCATAGCCCAATAGACACATAGCCCTATAGCCCAATAGTCCTACAGCCCTATAGCCTCATAGCATTATAGCCCTAGAGCCCTAGAGCTCTACAGCCCTATAGCCATTCAACCATATAGCCCTATAGCTCTAAAGTAGCCCCATAGCCCTATATCCCCACAGCCGCATTGTTCTATAGCCCTATAGATCAATAGCCACATAGCCCTATAGCCCTATATCCCTATAGCCCTATACCCCTATAACATGTTAGCCTTATAGCCCTGTAGCCATGTAGCCCTATAGCTGTACTATATGCCTATAGCCCTATTTCCCCATAGCCCTATATCCCTGTAGCCCTATAGCCCTATGGTCCTATAGCCCTATGGCCCATAGCCCTATAAACTCATAGCCCTATAGCCCGCCCCATAGCCCAATAGCCTCATAGCCCTGCAGCCGTTTAGCCCTATGACCCCATAGCCATATAGCCCGATAGACCAATAGCCCTATGGCCCTATAGCCCTACATACCCATACCCACAGCCCTATAGCCCCATCGCCCACAGCCCCAGAGCCCTATAGCCCTAAGAAGACTTTGATTATGTTGTTTCTCCGGTATCATATATGGAGCCGCCCTCCATCCCTGCTGGGACTTGTTCTGACGAATTGGCGTGGCGCCAAGACGAGAGCCGTGTTTAGAAATCCACGCCACACGTCTTCCATCCGTGTTATTGTTGGCAGCATTGAAGACGAATGAGCACGGCGCCAAGGCGAGAGTTCATTCCATCCGCTCAAGTGTTGGAAGATCCACGCCTCCAGATGACAGAGTGTGAGGAAGCCCTCTTCGAAGCGCCAGGCCCGCCGACACGGACACGCCAGGTGATACGATGAGGAGGTGTTATTTCTGAGGAGGGAAGGCTGGAAGGCCCTCTGCGCTGAGGAAATGCCCCTCCCCTCACCCCTCCTCATCCTCTTCATTCGCCTGAACTGCTCCAGAGCCCGATGCTTTTCCAGGCTGTTCGAGAGCTAGAGAGCTGCAGCGTCGTCAATGTGAATTTCGGGATTAAGAGAATGCTCTCATGTGTCCCACCTTTTCCCGCTGCCCCGTACGCCGCTGCCATTTCTGGGCAGCGCAGGTGCACCTTTCAGCTTTGATAAAACGATCGCCCGATCGCTCACATTCGTAGGCGGAGCTTGTGGTTTCGGTTTGCTGCTATTGCTAACCCTGCGTTCACTTCGCAGAAGTGACTTCCATGGCGGCGCGGACCTGGAGACCACCACAGACGTGCCAGTTGACGCCGACAAGCCTGGCGAAGATTTCGACGAATACGACCTTGCCGGGGACGACCAAGAGGCGCCAGCTCCAGCCCAGGGCTCGGCGCAGGAGGCTCGCGACAACCTGCCGAGTCCCATGTTCGACGGTTCAGGCTGGCGGGACTATTCACGGAGACTGGAGGCCTGGGCGTTGGCAGCGTCGCTCAGGTCAGCAAGGCAGGGACCAGCGCTATACGCAAGGCTCCCGGGAGATACGTGGGCAGCGGTCGAAGGCATCGATTTGCAGAAGTTGTCGGACGCTAGCGGCGTGGACTTCGTGATGCTAGAGCTGCGAGATCGCTTCGAGGAGCAGGATATCTTGCGACAGGGAGATGTGTTGCAGGAGCTGGCCGTGGCATGGAAGCGCAAGCAGCAGGAACACATCATAATGTTCAAGAGGCGCTTCAACACCCTCGTGTATCGCCCGAAGAAGCCTGATGTGTTTTTCCACTGATCGTGCTTGGATGGTTTTTTCTTGGAGACGCTGAAGTTGCCGAGCGATCGACCCGCTACGGTGTTGGCTATTTCGAACAAGGACTATAAGTACGAGCGCGTGTCGACGGCGGCGGAGAGGAACTGGTCGAATGTCGCGGAGTTCGACCGCAGCGGCAACAGCGCCTTCAGGCCGAAGAAGCCTGGTAGGGCGTGGGCTCCCATAGGCGATGGTCAACGAGCACTACATGCTGAGCCAGCGGGAGACCGCGTGCCTGACGTTCCAGCCACCGTGGATGCGTAGTTCCGCGAGTTCGACGACGAGGGGCGCCAGGCTGTGGAGTCTTTCTTGGCGACCGGTGGCCCACCGACCTTCCAGGCTTGGGCGTCTACGAGGGAGACCAAGAATTCCCGAGGCCAGGCGGACGCAGATGCGCCGCGGAAAGTTCACGAACTAAGCTCACGAGTGCCAATCTCAAGATGAAGGATTTTCGGAATCGGCGCTTTTCCCGGTGCCATCGCAGCCCAACGCCGCGCGACGCGATCCGCAACGCCAGAATGAGATTGACGATTTCATGGAACATGTCATACGCAAGGCGTGCGACCAGATGAGCCATTGGATGAGGAGGTAATGAGTTAAGCCACATAATGTTGTCTTAAGCACCGCGTATCGGAGTGAACACTGGCAGTAAACCACCCCAAACCGCTTGCACAAACAGTGCGAAACTATACGTTAAGCTCAAAATCACAAGGTTGAAACCTTACAGTCGGACTGCCTTTAACAGAAACGCGCCAATCGAAACTGCAACGGCCAGTCGAACCCACACTCGTCATACCGCTGGGTTTGTATGTTAATTGGAGATCTCAGCTGTAACGATCGGTCGGTTACGCTCATGATTTGCAGTTGTGGAAATTGCGAATTGAACGTTAAGTTGCGGAAGTGAATGGATCGCATCGTCGATTCGAAACGTTGTGTTCGAAATCATATGTCGAGCTAATGCGCTTTGATCACAGTGTACAATTCTTCAACCACGTGATTTCACCATCCTTGTAAGTTACACGGGAGCCCGCACGCTCGAATTTTGCTCAGCATTCACCTTGTGTGCGCCAATATCCTTCCGCCCTTCCTTACACCGCATTATTTTTCTTGCTTTTGTTCGGGGTCACGCGGCCACGCGATTCTCGACAACCGAAGTGGGGCGTGCGGCGTCGGGCCAATGCATATAGCCGCGCCTGGGCTCAGAAACGAGACGAGCAGTGATGAGGACGCGGTGGCGGGAGTCGATGCGGCAGGAGGGGCAGAGGAGGAGGAGGAGGAACAGGTTGGTGAGGCATAGGGATAGGAGGACGATACCCAGCGGACAAGGGGGAGGATTATGAGAGATGGGGGGTCGTCTCCTCACCACTCGTCCTTCTCCTCCTCCTCCTTCCCCTCCCTTCCTCTCCCCCTCGTCGTTTCCCTCCTTCTCCCTGATTCACCCTTGTCGTCCTCCCTCCTCCCCTCAGTCGTCTCTCCCTTCTCCGTCTTCCTCCCTTCTCCACCTTCCTTCCTCTTGTTCCCTTCCTCCAGCTAAGCATTCCTCCCTCCTCCCTCCTCCCTGATCCCGTCTCCTCCTCCTCCTCCCCCTCCTCTTCCGCCTCCTGCCCTTCTCCTGAACTCTTGTGCTGCTTACCGCCCTCGTCATCTCATCTTCCTCCTTACCTCCCTCTGTCGGCCGACGTGCCGACTGCTCGCTACTAGGTCTGGCAGGTCAGCTCAGTAGGGGCCCTTGTTGCCCTTGCTCCGCGGCGGCCGCGACGGCCATAGTTTGCCCTTGCCCTGGTTGTCCTTGCCCTTGCCCTGGCCCGTGCCAACGCCGTTGTAGCTGTGGCTGTGGTCGTCGTCCTCTGGGGCGGCCTCGAGGATCTCTTCTGGCGGCGTCGCCGGAGCGCGTTGCGCTTCGAACTCGAACGATGGCGCCGCTCCCGCCGCCGCTGACATCAGGTCGCGCATCGCGCTCATGGTCGCCAGCCTGACGTTGGCGTGGTGATGCCCCTGGCTGTTGCTATCGCGGTGCATGTCGAATTGCGCTTGCTCGTCCTCAGGGGCGGGATTGCTCCTCCTCCTCTTCCCTCCTCTCCTCTTCTCCTCCTCGTCGCCTTGCCTGACTCCTCCTCCTGTCTCCTCCCCCTCCTCCTCCTC